GACAGGGAGGGAGGAGGGGTCTTCAAGGAGGCCTAGGCAGTTGGCTTGACCTTAAATAAAGAACACAGCCTGGGCTGGAGAGATGGCTCAGCAGTTAAGAGCACTGACTACTCTTTCAGAGGTCCTGAGTTCAATTCCCAGCAACCACATGGTGGCTCACAACCACCTGTAATGAGATCTGGTGCCCTCTTCTGGCCTGCATGGGTACATGCAGGCAGAATACTGTATACATAGTAAATAAATAAATCTTTAAAAAAAAAAAAAAAAGAACACAGCCTGTATCACCCAGTGCAGACATTCCCCTCTGCCCCAGTTTTCAATGGGTGTCATGTATGACACCTGTCACCCACCACTGCCTCACACCATCTGGACTTACCAGGTCTCCTTTGTGTCCTTCCAACACCCATATTGATTTCAACCACAGAACCTTTGCACTCACTGCCTCTCTGCCCGGTTCACTCCTCAGCCCACTGCAGAGCTTGAACCATTTCATCGGTGGGACCCTGAAGATCACGGCTTCAAAGACCTCTCCCTTTAAAATCTAGGGCTGGGGCGTGGCTCAGTGGTCGAGCCCCTGTCTAGAATCCCCCAGTGAGGGGCTGCGGCGTGGCTCAGCTGTAGTGCACCTATGTAGCCTTTGTGAGGTCCTGGATTTATACCCAGCCCTTAAAAAAAAAAAAAAGGGTAGGCCACACACGTGATTTTCTGACTCTGACTGGGTGCCCTGTGTGCTTTCTGCTGATGATAACTCACTGGCAGACTGACTAAGTTCAAAAGACCACAGATTTATTTTGGCATGGGAGTTGTGGTCCAAGGTCAAAGATCGGGTGCCTGTCTGGCGATGGACTCTCTGCTGGCTGGAATCCCCGGCAGCCAGGGCATCACATGGTGAAAGACAAGAACACGTGAGAGGCTGGTAAGAAGGCTCAGCAGCTAAAACCCTCTGTTGGCAAGCCTGACACTTACATTCGATCCCCGAACCCCATGTGGTAGGAGAAAATTGACTCCCCCAAGTTTTCCTGACTCCCACACTCCTGCCATGGCACACTCACAACAATCAGTCATGACACACTCACAACAGTCAGTCATGGCACACTCACAACACAGTCAGTCATGGCACACTCACAACACAGTCAGTCATGACACACTCACAACAGTCAGTCATGACACACTCACAACAGTCAGTCATGACACACTCACAACAGTCAGTCATGACACACTCACAACACAGTCAGTCATGGCACACTCACAACACAGTCAGTCATGGCACACTCACAACAGTCAGTCATGACACACTCACAACAGTCAGTCATGACACACTCACAACAGTCAGTCAAGGCACACTCACAACACAGTCAGTCATGGCACACTCACAACAGTCAGTCATGACACACTCACAACAGTCAGTCATGACACACTCACAACAGTCAGTCATGGCACACTCACAACACAACAGTCAGTCATGACACACTCACCACAGTCAGTCATGGCACACTCACAACACAACAGTCAGTCATGGCACACTCATAACACCACAGTCAGTCATGGCACACTCACAACAGTCAATCATGGCACACTCACAACAGTCAGTCATGACACACTCACAACAGTCAGTCATGGCACACTCACAACAGTCAGTCATGACACACTCACAACACCACAGTCAGTCATGGCACACTCACACCACAGTCAGTCATGGCACACTCACAACACAGTCAGTCATGGCACACTCACAACAGTCAGTCATGGCACACTCACAACACCACAGTCAGTCATGGCACACTCACCACAGTCAGTCATGGCACACTCACAACACAGTCAGTCATGGCACACTCACAACAGTCAGTCATGGCACACTCACAACACCACAGTCAGTCATGGCACACTCACAACAGTCAGTCATGGCACACTCACAACAGTCAGTCATGGCACACTCACAACACAATCAATTATGGCACACTCACAACACAGTCAGTCATGGCACACTCACAACAGTCAGTCATGGCACACTCACAACACAGTCAGTCATGGCACACTCACAACACAGTCATGGCACACTCACAACACCATTAATCAACCTTAAAAAAAAAACAAAAAGGAGCCAAGCGGGCGGTGGTGGCGCACCTCTTTAATCCCAGCACTTGGGAGGCAGAGGCAGGGGGATCTCTGTGAGTTTGAGCCCAGCCTGGTCTACAGAGCGAGATCCAGGACAGCCAGAGCTACACAATGAAACCCTGTCTTGAAAACAAAACAAAACAAAAGATCACATGTACAAGTCAGAGACCAATTGATTCAAATACCTCACCTGCTATAAAATAACCCATTAATGCACACACTAATCCATGAGCAGCATAAAGGATTGTCCACAGGGTCCTCATCCCTCCACCTTCCTCCCGTCCTCCCTGAGGGTAAAAAATTCTTCCTGAGCAGGCCAGTTCAGCTCTGGGGTGGGACCCAGGGCTCCGTGCTACACACCTGCTTTCCCCACTGAGCCCACTGAGCCCCAGCCTGCAGTTTCCATGTCCACCAAATTCCCCTGAGCACAGCCCTGAACAGGTTCCTCCATCTCTGCCTGGAGATGCATTCTGGGAAAAGTTCGATGGAGCAGAGTCGACCAATTCCAAACCACGGATGTGTGTGCTCCTAAGGGCATTTGGCATGCGTCTAGTTCCCAAATCTATTGTGTTATCTGAGGAACACAAATTAGTCTAAGGACACAAATTAGACCCCTCCTCACCTCCTAAGTATCATAGTCATACTTGCTGTTTTCTTTTCTTTCTTTCCTTTTTGTTTTGTTTTTTGTTTGTTTGTGTCTTTGTTTCAAGATAGGGTCTCTCTGTGTAGCCCTGGCTGTCCTGGAACTCTCTCTATAGACCAGGCTGGCCTCAAACTCACAGAGATCCCCCTGCCTCTGCCTCCTGAGTGCTGCGATGAAAGGTGTGCATCACCACTGCCCAGCTGATACTTGCAATTTTCAAAAACCATTTGGATTTGTCTCATTGAGTTGTTCTAGTTCCAAACTGATGACGGTTTGTCACACAGAAGTCAGGTGATAGACATGTGCAGTGTGAGACAGGCATGCCTGAGATCCCAGCACTGTGGAGGTGGAAGCGGTAGGATCATGAGTTCAAGGTCATCCTCAGCTACATAGGGATTTCAAGGCCATCCTGGGCTACATGACACCCTGCATCAAAGAAAAATAAATACATAAAAATAAATTTTAAAGCCAGGCAGGGCAATGGTGCTGCACGACTTTAATCCCAGAACTCGAGAGGCAGAGCCAGGCGGATCTCTGTGAGTTCGAGGCCAGCCTGGTCTACAGAGGGAGATCCAGGACAGGCACCAAAACTACACAGAGAAACCCTGTCTTGAAAAAACCAAAAAATAAATAAACCCTGTCTCGAAAAACAAAATAAATAAATAAACAAATAAATTTTAAAAGATCATGAACTCATCCAGGTTCGAGGTCAGCCTGGTCTACACAGTGAGTTCCAGGACAGCCAGGGCTACACAGAGAAACCCTGTCTTGTAAAAAAAAATAAATAATAACAATAATAATAAAAAATAAAAGATCATGAGAAAAGCAGAAAGAGCCATTGTTTGTTTTGAGACAAGGTCTCACTGCAGCCTAGGGATCTCCAGATAAACACACATCAGCCAATACATGGAGCCAGTGAGAGCCACCTTTGAGTCAGTTACACTAATGTGTCGGTAGCTACCTTCCTTACCACTTTTTTTTTCTTTTTCTTTTTTTAGTTTTTTGAGACAGAGTTTCTCTGTGACACAGTCCTGGCTGTCCTGGAACTCACTCTGTAGTCCAGACTAGCCTTGTACGCAGCAATCCGCCTGCCTCTGCCTCCCGAGTGCTGGGATTAAAGGTGCGTGCCACCACCGCCTGGCATGCACCTTTATTTTTATTTCTGGTGTGCACATGACTGCACATTTTTTGGGCTACAGTGTAACGTTTTACCACCTGAGAACATGAATAATGATAGAAATGGAGTATTGGCGATGTTTCTTCCCGTGAGTCTGCAGGTCTCTTCTAGCTGTTTTGAAACAGTAGTCAGCACAATGGAATTTACTCCTGCATTCTAACTATAACACTGTAACCCTTGACCAGTGGCTTTCCCCCACCTTCCCACCTGCTGCTTCTAGATCAGTTTCTTTAGTCTCCACTGACTGAGGTCCAACTTATGTACCTTGACATAATGTCTGCCAGCCTTGTCCCTATTACAGCAAATAACAAGGCTTCCTCTTTTTTATGGGCAAATAATATTCCATGGTGTGTACAAACTACATTTTCTCTATCCATTCACCTATTAATGGGCATGTAGGTTGACTCCATATCATGGCTCTTGTGAACAATGCCACAATGCAGACAGGAACAAGCATCAGGCATTTTCACTTTCTCTTTCTTTCTTTCTTTCAAGACCCAACCCCTGTACCAAAAAGGTCAAGAAGAGTGTCGCCAGGAGGAAGGGATTTGAACCCTGGAAAAACCCAGACCTCTTAAATCTGGGGTCCATTCTCTGCTCGAGAAGTCCACAAAACTTGCCCAAAAAAGGTCTTTCGTTTTGTCCTGGTATATTTTCCTTTTTTTTTTTTTTTTTTGAAACAGAGTCCTTGTAGGCCAGGACAGCCTTGAACTCCTGATCTTCCAGCCCCCACCTTCCAAATGCTGGTGTGACAGGTGTGTAGCATCATGCCTGGCTTGCACGCCCATTTTGCAGAGGAGGAAACTGAGGCTGAGGGGAGCTAGTGGGGAGAGATGCTGCAGGGGTCAGAGCCTCTGAGCCGAGCAAAAACGCCCCCGGGGTCCTAAAAAGCTTTGGGTTCCGAGTGGGAGGAGCATCGTGGGAGCACCGGGACCCACGTCCGCGCTGTACGGCCCCGCCCCCACGGGGGACGTGAAGACGCGGACCCCGCGCAGCGTGGGGACATGTGACCGACTGCAGAGGCCGCGCGCTGCATCCCCGGCCCGGCCGCGCTGCTGCGCAGGACGCGGGGAGGCGCGCGCCGAGCCCCGGGAGCACCGCCCGGGAGCACCGCGGGGCGCGCGAGCAGACGCGCAGCCGCACGGCCGGGGCGGGGTCCCCGCGGGGTCCCCAGCTTCGGGCAGAAACGAAACCGAAAGAGGGGACCCAGGGAGGCGGAGCCGCGCCGGCGCCACCCAGCCCTGCGGGGCCCGGACCCGGGCGCGGCCAGGTGTGCACCGGCCACCATGGCTCAGGACGGCGTAGAGGTAGGACAGCCGTGCCACCGGCGACAGGCCGCGCGGGGAGGGCTCCGGGGACACCCCGAACCCCCGGGCAGCCTCCCTCCTCCATCCCGGGCACAGAGGGGCTGCAGGGTCAGAGGTCAGAAGGAAAAGGGGTAACCTGGCCTGCATCCCGCCACGTACACACCGCCAGACCTCAAATTCGCACCCGGGAGGCTGGGACGCACCGCAGTCCCCACCATCCCCCAATGCCTGGAGAACTTTGGTTTTTTCCAGGAAATGGCTTAAAGGGAGGGGGGATGGGGCTGAGGAGGCCAGAAGCCTGGGTCAAGTTCAGGAGAATGAAGGGGCGGGCGCTGCGCCCCCGTCGCCCCGCAACACCAGAGTCCACTCCCCTCCATCCCAGTTGGAGAAGAGCGTCAGGCGCCTCCGGGAGAAGTTTCATGGAAAAGTGTCCCCCAAGAAGGCAGGGGCTCTTATGAGGAAGTTTGGCAGCGACCACACCGGAGTAGGGCGCTCTATCGTGTACGGTGAGTCAGCCCAGGGGGGAATACTGAGTGGGTGTGGTTTAAGAAGCCTGTGTCGCTTTAGCGACCCCGGCTCCCCTTGACAGAAGGCTCTCCACTACCTGGAACTCCTACACACGCTTCAAGAGCCCTTCCCATATCTCCCCACTAGGTGTCAAGCAGAAAGATGGACAGGAGTTGAGCAACGATTTGGACGCTCAGGTAACCTGCCTCCCTCTCTCCTCAAAGGAAGGGGAGAATCCCTTTTCTTTCTGGCAGAAGGAACAAACCACTGCTGTGAGCGCAGCCTGCAAACAGCAGGCGCTCATTAAGTGCTGCCTACCTCAAATGGAGGAGACAGGACAGTCGGATAAGGAGGTCCTGGCTGTTGAGGAAGGCTCGAGGGAACTCTGCCTTGCAGTAGAAGAAAGGCTGGGCTGGGCTGGGGAGGAGAGCGTCCAGGTGGAGGAGATGGGATGGGAGACGGGATGAATGGACAACTGAATTCATGCAGTCGCTTCCGTGACTGGTACTCTATGTGTTGAACTTGCTTCAAAGGCATACCAGAGTTTTATTTTGTTTGAGACATAGTCTCACTCTGTAGCCCTGGACTGTCCTGAAACTCACTTTATAGACCACATTGGCTTTGAACTCACAGAGATCCACCTGCACCTACCTCCCAAGTGCTGGGAATCAAAGGCATGTACCACCATGCTGGACATCTACAAGAATCTGATGAATCATATTCTTCAGGTTTAGGTCTATAAACAATATGACAATAATAATAATAATAGAAGGAAGTCGCCTTCATGGAGAGTACCTGAGGGGCAGACCTCCAGGCCTTGGTTCATTTCATACCCCTCTTTCTCCTGGTCCCAGGAGGTAATCCTATTACACAAGAACAGCTCAGGGTCGTGACATTCACCAGGTTCTGGGGACCAGCATTTGGCTTCAGGGATTCAAACTCTAGCCAGTTGTAATGAAGTTGGGCTCTGAGAGGCCCCTCTGTGAGGACCCAGGAAGAGAGAGGGCCTTGCCCACTGTCCCCATCTGGGAGCAATAGAGCCGCCATTCAGACTTGCAGCCAGCTGGCTGCATGACCCAAACCCAGAGCCTTTTAAAGCCATGTGGCCACTGAGCTAAGAGCTGGCTCAGCTGTTAAGAGCACTTGCTGCTCTCCCAGGGGACTCTAGTTCCATCCCCAGCACCCAGATGGACAGCTCCCAACCTCTCCAGTTCCAGGGGATCTGACACCCATCTTCTGGCCTCCATGGGCACTGCACTTGTGTGCATGTACACAGGGAGACACGCATACACATTTAAAAAGTTTTTAATCTTTAAAGCCACCTGGCATTAGAGGCCGGGTGTCACATTTGTGGCCTCTGCAGATCAAGAGGTCATACAGGGCTCTGGGTTCCATGGGCCACGATCACTGAATGATTTCAGATTCTGGGCCATCTGGGAAATGAGAATAGCAAAAGTATTCACTTCTTAAGGATATTTGAGACACTGTGCTTTTGTCTATTTTTACAGTACTAGGGATTGAACTTGGAACTTCGTGCATTGTAAGCAAGAGCTCCAATGCTGAGCCATGCCCCCAGCCTTCTATTACTTGTGATCCTCCTGCCTTACCCTCCCAAGTAACTTGAACGGCTGGCCTGAGCCACTAGACCCAGCTCTAGTGGCTCACTGGAAAGCTCTCAACACAGGCAATGTTTCATCTCCGCTGCACCTGTATAGAGCTGGGGTCCTGTCTCCAGTCCAGGGGTCCCATGCAGGGGCCTCTCCCCCATTAAACACAGTATAGCACCCCGAGAGCCTTTCCAGTTTCTGCACTCCCCTTCCGTGTCTCCCCTCAGGACCCACCCGAGGACATGAAGCAAGACCAAGATATCCAGGTGCGCTGGTGGCTGGGATGAGGTGGGGTGTGGACAAGGGAGGAGGTGCAGGGTGGGAACCTGTGCCTGGTGCAGCAGTGAGGATGTTCACCGTGCTCCACCTCCATCACCGTGCTCCAGGGGCGGAGGTGACCCTGTTTTGTTCCCATTCATCCATGTTGCAGGCAGTGGCCACCTCCCTGTTGCCCCTGACACAAGCCAATCTTCGAATGTTCCAAAGAGCCCAAGACGACCTCATCCCCGCCGTGGACCGACAGTTTGCCTGCTCCTCCTGTGACCACGTGTGGTGGCGCCGTGTGCCCCAGAGGAAGGAGGTGCTTCCTGGACTTACCTTGATTTCTTCCTGTACCTCACTCCTGATCCCTGTGTCCAGAAATTATGTTTCTGACTGAAGGTCATCAACTGTGTGTGTGTGCGTGTGTGGTGTGGTGTGTGTGTTTGTGGTGTGTGTGTGTGTGTGCCTGTGTGTGGTGTGTGTGTGCGTGTGTGTGGTGTGTGTGTGTGGTGTGTGTGGTATGGTGTGTGTGGTGTGTGTATGTGTGCCTGTGTGTGGTGTGTGTGTGTGCGTGTGTGGTGTGGTGTGTGTGTGGTGTGTGTGTGTGTGTGTGCCTGTGTGTGCCTGTGTGTGGTGTGTGTGTGCGTGTGTGTGGTGTGTGTGTGTATGTGTGTGTGTGTGGTATGGTGTGTGTGGTGTGTGTGTGTGTGTGGTGCGTGTATGTGTGTGTGTGGTGTGTGTGTGTGTGTGTGTGTGTGTGTGTGCCTGTGTGTGGTGTGTGTGGTGTGGTGCGTGTATGTGTGTGTGTGTGGTGTGTGTGGTGTGGTGCGGTGCGTGTATGTGTGTGTGTGTGTGTGTGCCCACACGCATGTGGAGGCCACAGTTTGGTGGTGGTGTCTTTCTCAGTTGCGCTCCATCTTATTTTTTGCGACAGGGTCTCTCACTGAACCCTGGGGCGCACCACTTCAGTTAAGGGGTTGACCAGCGTGACCCAAAAAGCCTCCTGTCTCAGCCCCCCAGCACTGGGGTTGGGGTGCATTCAGCCATGCCTTGCTCTTACGTGGGTGCTAGGGATTTGAACTCAGGACCATGAGGACAGGAGGCACTTCACCTGCTGAACCATCTCGCCACCGTTTTGTGTTTAGTTTTTGGTTTTTAGGTTTATTTTATGCATGTTAGCATTTTGCTCACGTGCATGTCAGTGCAGCACAGTGCCACTGTGCTGGGAACTGAACCTGGGTCCTCTGCAGGAATAACAGATGCTCTTAACCATTGATCCATCTCCCCAGCCCCTTCTTTTGTTTTTTGAGAGGGTCTCATGTAGCCCAAGCTGGTCTCCGACTCAGCATGTAGCTGAACTCCTCATCCTCCTGCCTCCACACCTGGTTCATGTGGGGCTGGGGTCATAACCAGGGGCTTCATACCAGCTAGACAAGCCCAACTTCAGTACCCAGCTGGAGTCATGCGTCCTTGAACTTGAGAAGTCAGACCCTTGGCTTCGCCCGCTGGGCCAGAAACCAAACGGGAAGCTGATTTCCTAAGCTCTTTCTTCTTTTTCTTTAGACAGGGTCTCTCTGTGTAGTCTGGCTGGCCTGGAACTCAATGATCCACCTGCCTCTGCCCAAGTGCTAGGATTAAAGGCGTGCGCCACCACGCCCAGCTTGACTGCCTAATCTCTTGATAATTAGTGTGCTTCTGATAAGAGCTGGGACTGTGGCTTCGTTAGTGCAGTGCCAGCATGGCATTCAGGAAGCCCTGGGTTCCATCGACAGCACCATATACCAGGCACAGTGATGCAGGCCTGTCGTCCCAGCACTTGAGAGGTGGAGGCAGGAGGATCAGGAGTCCAAAGCTAGCTCGGGCCACATGAGACCCTGTCTCAGCCCTGACGGCTCTTGGCCCTTCTCTGCCTTCTCAGGTGTCCAGGTGTCGGAAGTGTCGGAAGCGCTATGAACCAGTGCCAGGCGACAAGATGTGGGGTCTGGCCGAGTTCCACTGCCCGAAGTGTCGGCACAACTTCCGGTGAGGGCCCTGTCCCACCCCAGCCCACCCTCAGCCCAGTCCCAGCCTAGTCCCCTCCTCCTGTAACCCTGGGGCCCAGCTGCCCCCTCAGCCCCTCACAGCCCTGCTGGCCCCCAGGGGCTGGGCACAGATGGGGTCCCCATCACCCTGCTATGGGTGCGGCTTCCCTGTGTATCCCACTCGGATCCTGCCCCCACGCTGGGACCGTGACCTGGATCGGCGCAGCACACACACCCACTCCTGCTCAGCTGCAGATTGCTACAATCGGAGAGGTGAGGCCCTGGTGTATACCCTACATTCTGTATCTCCTGCGCATTGACCCCTGGCTGCTCCCTCCTTCCATGAGTCCTCCATGGCTCCCGAGAGCTCCCCCACTCCTCCCATGGAGTTTCCAGCAGCTCCATAGTATCCAGCCTGCTAGCCCCATAGTCCCCATGACCTGTGAGTCTTTTTCTGTGGCCAAGTTCCCACCTCCCTAAAGAGTTTCAACACCTGTAAATTTTATGCCCTCGGACCTCTGTGTCATTTGGCTCCAGGGGGTCCACGCAGAGCCCCAGACCCCTCTTACCTCCAGAGTCTCACACCTCAGCAACTCTCCTTCCCCTAGAGCCCCATGTGCCTGGGACTTCCTGTGCCCACCCCAAGAGCCGGAAGCAGAACCACCTCCCCAGAGTGCTGCACCCCAGTAACCCCCACATCAGCAGTGGCTCCACAGTGGCCACGTGCCTGAGCCAGGGTGGCCTCCTGGATGACCTGGACCATCTCATCCTGGAAGACCTGAAGGAGGAGGAGGAGGAGGAGGAGGAGGAGGACGAGGAGGATGGTGGGCCCCGAGAGTGACCCTGGCCAGACAGACACAGGAACGACAGACATGGTGTGTGGACACCTCGTGTTGCTATAAGAAACCAGCTCAAGGAGACAGAAAGGCCCTTGGGGGTACTCATGGGACAGTCACAGCCGCACAAGCCGGGTCAGCATAACAGCCTTCTTCAGAGAGTACGCCCCACCGCGGAACTCGGCCCAGTAGACCCCGTCCTGGTAACGGCTCCGGTAGTGACCTCCATGATACCACACACCATTGAGGTTGGAGTGGGCACAGGCGTGGTACCACCAGCCCCCACGATGGTACAGGGCACAGTTACCTGAGGGCAGAGACAGAGTTTGTGTTCCCACCAAAATAAAAGTCTTTACCAGCACTTCTTCGTGCAAAGCTTTCGCAAGCTTCCCTCAACCTTCCCTATGGTACTGAATAGAAGCCCTAATTCTCCATCTCCTCACCAAAATAAAAGGCTCTGGCTTCTCACTTTTCTTCTTCAGAGTAATGGCCTTAATTCCCTATCTCCTTACCAAAGTAAGAGGCATGACTTTCCCATATTTTCTGCAAAGTAGTAATCTATCATTCATTGCTTTGGGAGGTGAGGCGGGGGGCTTCAATTTCCTTTCCTTCCAAGTGGACTGGCCCACACCTCTAATCTCAGTATGTGGGAGGTTTACAGAAGGAAGAAGGTCTGGAGTTTCAGACCAGCCTGGGCTCCACAGTGAGATCCTATCTCAAAAACAAACCAACGTGGGCGGGGACATAGCTCTGCACTTTAGACTGCAGGGGTGCCCAGCTCTGTCCCCCACCAAAAGAAGCTTGGCTTCCGCTCTCAGTCCTCTCACGGTGCAGGGTACCTAGGTCTTAGTCATCAGAGAAGGAATCGGGGCTCCCTCCCCTCCCCCCTTGTTCTCTACTGAACATAGAAGCCTCCTTACGCTGAAGTACTTACCTTAGGGGATTTCTTTCTGAGACAGGGTATCCTGTAACCAAGGCTGACCTTGAACTTGCTATCCCAAGGATGACCTGGAATTCCTACCCCTCTGACCTCCATCTCCTAGAGCTGGGACTGCAGGCCTGTGCCCACACCCAGCTCACCAGAAGGGAAGCTATAGTTTTAGTGTAGGTGCCCACAGAGGCTAGAACTATCAGATCCCCTGGGGCTAGACCTACCCAGTGTGGGTGCTGAGAATGGAACCCCAGAGGAATAGTTTGTGCTCTTAACTGCTGAGACATCTCCTCCTCCCAGAAGGGAAAACTTGACTGCTTTTCACTCTGACCAGATTTGCAGTCCCACCTTCCTGCCCTCCCACCAAAATAAAAGCCTTACCAGAATAGGAGTCTCGGTCCCTGTCCACAGTGCTGAAAGGTTTGTCGCTGTGCCAGGAGAGAGAGTCTCCAGCATCACCATGGTACTGTCCAAGCCGCAGACGGTAGTGGTCACTCTCGGGTTCCAAGGAGAAGCTGTCATAGTGGGCGCGCGCCCCACGGCCCCCCCAGTCCTCCAGGAGGATCAGCAGCTCATGGTCCCCACGGCTGGTCACCTGATGCATGGGTTCCAAGCCAAGCCAGTATTCCCCGTCTGGCCGTCCAAAGCCCGCCTGGAAGGGCGAGGAGGAAGAGGCGGTCAGGATGGGAGGCGATCAGGACGGGTGGCCTCCCTGGCTGGCCGGTCTCCATCACCTCTGCCACGCTGCCACAAGCACCCACCTTGTAGTGCTGCCAGTTGGTGAAGAAATTGACCGAGCCGTCCTGCCGCCGCTGGATGACGGTCCAGCCTCCACCCTCCTGCTGCTGCTCACACCACACGGATACCACACGCCGGCCCAGCCGCAGCTCATACACTCCGCTCTGCCTGTGACCTGCCCCGTGAGCCTCCGCACAGTCCCTCCATGGGCCTGTGGCAAGGTACAGCCTAAGCCAGGCAGGCCCTTCCTGGATCCGAGTCCCAGTTCTCACCAGTCCCCTTACCCAAATAAAAGCCATCTTCTGTCTCCATCTGAGGAGATCCTTACCAGTCCCTCTTCTCTCAGTAAACATGGTCCCATGAGCCAACTTCTCACCAAAGTAGCAGTCCTAATCTCTCATGCCCTCATCAAAATGGGAGTACCTCGTGTCTGTTTTCTCTTCCTATTTCACACTATATTAAGAGGACTGGTCAGGGCTGGAGAGATGGCTCAGTGGTGGAGAGCACTGGCTGCTCTTCCAGAGGACCCAAGTTCAATTCCCAGACCCACATGGCAGCTAACAACTGTCTGTGACTCCAAGATCAGACACCCTCGCACAGACATACATGTAGGCAAAACACCAATGAATACAAAAAAAAAAAAAAAAATTTTTTTTTTAAAAAAGAGGACTGGTCTTGTTTTGTTTCTGTACTGTTGGGAGACAACTGAAGACCTTGGTGCTCTACCAATGAACCACACCTCCAGGCTGTTCTTTCCACAGACTAATAGTCCTTTCTTGTCCTCTCATTAGAATAAGAGCATCATTTCCTCTGGTCCCCACACCGTGAGCCAAATCCTAACTAGTATTTCCATCTACCCACGTGGCACTGGAACCCCTGGGTCGTCATCTCTCACACACACACCCTGGCGGGCCTGTCTGGACTCACCCACTGGCCTGGTGGAAACAGCAAGGAGCCCAGTAGGTAGGGGAGGAGACGGGGGCTCCGGCTGCCTCGAGGCCTGGTCTCTCTGGTGCTCTGGAGTTTGGTCCCGCATCCTGCTGCTGTTTCGGGCACTGCCCACAAGACTCAGAGGAACCAAAGGCACCAGAGGCAGTGGCAGGACCTGGGGCCATATAGTCAAACGGAATTACATTAACCCCTCAGCTGAGGCAGTCAGGCGTCCCCTGGCATGGCGGGGGGATGCTTAGGGGATAGTCAGGGTCAGTAGATCAAATCTCCCACCAGATAAACAGAAAATCAGGCAGGGCAACACCTCAGCTTTACCACCCACCCTGCCAAAGCCTAACTCGGGGGCTTTTGTTGGTGGGGTGTACACGCGAAGCATGGAGGGCAGAGGAGGGTGTTCGGTTCCCTGCTCTATCGCTCTCCCTGTTGGTTTGAGTTGGCCTGGCAGCCAGCAAGCCCCAGTAAGCCTCTGCTGCCCACAGCACAGGAGCACATGCAGGCAGGCGCAGGCTTCGCGTGGTGCTGGGGACTGGAGCTCAGGCGCTCGTGTTCGCACAGCAAGCGTCTTCTGAACTGCTCCCCAACCCCGCCTTATCTGTTCTGTTTGTTTGTTTCAGAAAGGGTCTCACTCCAACTGGCCGGCCTGGAACTTGCAGTGACCCTCCAGCCTCTGCGTCTTGGGGATTGCGGGTGTGCGTCCCATGTCTGCCTTACTCTGTGCTTTTGAACTCAGAGAGCCGGGCCCATTCCACTCTGCTGCTGATCGAAGCTTCATTGCCCCTATCTGCTGACTGGGGGCACATGGGCCTCGGACGATGTGGGGAAATCTGCAGAACCATCACTAATCCAAAATTCAGGGCCAACACTGGGGGTGTGGTTCAGCTGTACAGCAGTCGCCTCGCATGCAGGAGGCCTCAGGTACACCAAAACCAACAGGAATGAAAAAAAGCAGCCCAAGCCAGCCTGCTGTCAAATGCCTGTCATCCCAGCACTTAGGAGGCAAGCATGAGGGCCAAGGTCATCCTCAGCCGCACAAGGAGTTAGAACCCATCCTGGGCCACATGAGCCCTGTTTCAATTAAAAAAGAAATTAGAGGCTGGTGACAGAAATAGTCCAAAGTTCAGAAGCTTCATGTAGTTACAAGAATATATTGTCTTAGGGGCTGGAGAGCTGGCTCAGCAGTTAGGAGCACTGGTTGCTCTTCCGGAGGACCCAGGTTCAATTCCCAGCACCCACATGGTGGCTCACGGCCAGTACCAGATCGATTCTGGCCTATCTAGACACTGCACAAACACGCGGTGCACAGACACACGTGCAGGCAAAATACCCACACACATTAAGATGAAAATCTTTAAAAATAAGATCATAAAACCAAATATATATATATATATATATATATAAAGCTGGACGGTGGTGGCGCACACCTTTAGTCCCAGCACTCCAGAGGCAGAGGTAGATGGATCTCTGTGAGTTCGAGGCTAGCCTGGTCTACAGAGCTAGTTCCAGAACAGACAGGGAGGGCTGTGCAAAGAAACCCTGCCGCGAAAAAAAGCAAAAGACAGAAGAAAACAAAAAAGAATATGCTGTCCTTGTGCATGGCGATGTGAGCGTGAGCCTCGCTCGGCGCCTATGAATGTTCCTCTGTGGAGCGGATGAGGCTCTCCCCAGCCGTTCACCCGGATGAGCAGTAGGTGGCGCCGCAGGCACCGTTTCAGACTTAGGCTCCGCGATCCCCCTGCTGATGTACCTGCTGCTGGCCCCGCTCCGGGTCCGCGCACGCGCGCTGCAGGCGGCCCAGGAGGCGGCTATGCTGGCTGGCGAGCTGCGCATGCTCGCGGAGCTGCGCGTCCAGCTGCTGCAGGCGCGCTGCCATTCGGCGCGCCTCGGCCTCGGCGTACAGCGCGCGCTCTGCCAGCAGACTGAGCGCCGCAGCAGGCTCCGCCCCCGGGCCAGGCTCCGCCCCCGCCTCCGGCTGCAGTTGCGCGCGCAGCTGGCCCAGGCGTGTGTTCAGGCTGTGGCTGTGCTCACGCAGCGCGCGCACCTCGCCCGCGAGCCCGCCTCCCTCGGCCGCGCGCCTTTGCAGCGCGCGCAGCAGCTCCTCGTGGCGGCCCACGCGCATGCGCAGCGCGTCCAGTTCGCCGTCGTGGGAGGTGTCGGAGCTCCGGCAGACGGCGCCGGTCGCCTTCTGCGGGGACAGTACCAGCGTGACGCGGCATCGCGCGGCACCTCCACGTGCCCGCCAAGCGCTCAGCAGGAGCAGCAGCTGCAGCGTGCGCAGCCCAGCAGTCCCCATGGTCACCTGCAGCGGAGAGGGAGGAGGCGACTGCGTTTTAGCCCAGACTGGTCCCAAAGCTCCCAGGAACCGAGGAGGACCGTGAAGTCTTGACCCCCGAGCCTCACCTCCCACGGTGGTGCTCTGGATCAGCTGGCAGCGCAGAGTCTCCTTTTATCACAGCTGATCCAGCAAGCAGCATCTGTGTACACCCAGAATCCCTCTCCATCCCCGGTTCCGGACACCTGGGCCTGGTCACCTCTCTCCCCTCAGAAACTTCGGTGGCTCCCACCTCAGGAGAAAACCTCTGTGTGTGTGTGTGGTGCTGTGGATGGAACCCTAGGCCTCGCTCATGCTGGGCTGCTCATTTCTGATTTGAGACATGGTATCACTATGTAGCCTAGGTTGGTTCCGAACCTGGGATCCTACTGCCCGAGCCTCTCCATCGCCAGGTGGCCGGTGTGTGCCACTATACCACGCTCCACACAGTGTCTTCAGCCAGGTCAATATTCATGGCTCCCCATTCCTGCCCTGCAGAGCCCACACCCGGGTCCCATGCCACCACTCCCAACACTCACACTCAGTGTCACACACTTGCACCTGCTCAGAAGGAAGCATGAATGCAAAGGTCGTGAGGCTGGATCTCCTTTCAGATGTACCGAAAAGAACAAATAGCAAGGAGGCCTGTGAGGGTGGCATGTAGGGAAGAGGAGTGAGCGGGGAGACGAGGGAGCCCGCGTCAAAGGACTCTGAGGCTCTGCTCTGAGGCAAGGGAACCCACGGAGCTCTCTGCGCTAGAGACTGGGTGGTTAGCTACAGCAACCCCTCATCCTGCAGGGCTCCCAAGCACTGGGCAGGGTCGGCCCTCTGGCAAATTGGCTGCCTTCTCGGGCAAGCCGAGGGCTAAACAAGCCTGGGGGCACACACCCCATAGCCCAATCAAGACCAGGAGTCTAGACAAACAGCCACCAACGCCACTTCTACCCCACTCTCACCTCTCACGCCCCAGATGTTGACTCCAGTGAGGTTTGCAGCAAGCCCACCAAATCTGAGGGAGCCCTGAAGGACTGGGAGGGCCTCTGAGCTGCTGTCTGGGTAGAGAAGGCTGGAGGGACAGAAGGCTTGGAAACCACCCATCCCCCGAGCCTGGGAGCAAGTGTAAATATTTAGTATTTCTAGTGTGAGAACCCAGGCAGAAAAGCCAGATCCCCTTGCCCAGGCCTCCAGAGTGTGATAACAGGCCACTGCCCTCCATGAGTTTCTTTCTTTCTCAGAGGCTCACAGAACATGGGAGGCCCTGCACCCTAGTAGACCTGTGGGATCCAGACTCAGACAACTATGACACACTAAAATGATAATGATGGGTATCAGTGAGCAACCTGCCTGGTGTTGGGGACGCCCTTAAGGGGTAAAGCTTGTTCCTCATTTAACCCTAGCAGCCAGGCTAGAGGTGTGCCTCAACTGTAGAGCCCCAGTGAGGAGCTATAGCGTTGCTCAGTGAGAGCCCCTGCCTAGAATCCCCTGGTGAGGAGCTGGGGTGTGGCTCAGTGAGAGCTCCTGCCTAGAGTCCCCCAGTGAGGGGCTGGGGTGTGACTCAGTGAGAGCTCCTGCCTAGAGTCCCCCAGTGAGAGGCCTGAGCGTGGCTTGGTGGTAGAGCACTTGGAAGGTCCTGGGTTGGTACTACAAGAAGAAAACAAAACCTCAAGATGTGGTGGCGCATGCTTAATCACAGTTTACCTGGGAGGCAGAGGCAGTTAGATCTCTGTGAGTTCCAAGCCAGCCAGTAAGTCCCTATCTAAAAAGGGGGCGGGATTAGATGAGGATTGACGTAGGCAATGTCAAATTAAAAGAAAGGAGAGCGACCTCAACAGAAGCCCACTGCCCTTACTGCAGAAGTACAGACTGCCAAGGCGCAGGGGGCTTGGGGTTTTAGAGGGCAGAGAAAAGATGGAAATTTTTATCTATGTTTGTAGTCTCAGGGCCAAGACATGCCAGCAGATGTTTTTATCATATGCTGACCTGGTCAGGTTTCTCCTGGCTCCTGACCGCAGATATTCTCATTATTATGTAGACTTTCTTGTCAGGCAAGCTGCTCTTATCGGTATGTGCAGGGAGTTCCCTGTTGGTGTTTCTGCTCTTCTGGGAGCCCGACACCCAGCTCCCACTGTGTAGCTGGGTGGCTAGGGAATTGACCCCTGAAGCCCTCCTTCCTCTCATTCCTTCTACCACCCAGATTTCTCCTTCTCTATATTCTCTGCTTGCCAGCCCCAATGATCCTTTCTCCTGCCTCACCATTGGCCGTTGAGTTCTTTATTAGACCATCAGGTGTTTTTACACAGGCACAGTAACACAGCTTCACAGAGTTAAACAAATGCAACATAAACAAAAGTAACACGTTAAAATAATATTTTACCACAGTTCCCGGTGCTCCTATCAGTATACGCAGGGCATTTCTAAGCTGTCTGGGGCTCTTTGTTTTAAATCATTGTCTTAGATCTTTAGATCATTGTTCTACTGCTCTGAAGAGACACCATGACCAAGCCAACCTACATAAGAAAGCATTTAACTAGAGGCTTGCTTACAGTTTCAGAGGGGGAGTCCATGACCATCATGGCAGGGAGCATGGCAGCAGACAGACATGAATGCTGACATTTGATCCACAAGCAGGGGGCAGAGAGAAAGACAGTAGGCCTAGAGTGGCCTTTTGAAACCTCAAAGCCCAGCTCCAGAGATGCACCTCCTCCAACAAGGCCACACCTCCTAATCCTTCCCAAATTGTTCCACCAACTGGGTACCACACATTCAAATAATCACACCACCGCAGTCATTAACTATTCACTGGGTGTGGTGGCACAAGCCTTTTATCCCAGCACTCAGGAGGCTGAGTCAGGTGTACCTCTATGTGTTCCAGGCTAGTCTGTCTACATAGTGAGTGAGACCCTGTCTCAAAAAAAATAAAAAGAGAAGGATGAAACTGCTCACACTCCTGCACACACTACACACCTTAAAAAGAAAATAGCTTGGGCCTGTGTAGCCACACCTGCCCTAGCACCATCTAGTCCAGCACACGCTGCACAATACACACACTGCACAGCAATGCTCACATCCTTTTACAGATTCCCTTTCTCTCACACAGTCACATTTTCATTTCAGGCAAACCATGCAGGGACAGAACAAGAGCAAATGTCTGTGGGGTCACTCCCCAGAGACAGAATCCACAGCCCAGACCCAGAATCTCCCACCAGACCTGCACTGGGCAAAGTGGCCTCTCCTTGCTTAGCAAGATCCTCAACTCCCCAAAACTGAGCACACTCCAGGGCCAGGAGAGGAAAGGACTGTTCCAGACTGGAAAGCATCTGCCAGCCCTGGGCTACAGCAGGGACTGCACGGCCCCTTTGCTTCTCCATTACCAACAGAGAGAAGAAGCCTCTGGAGTCACAGAAAAGGGCTAAAGGACCAGAGAGCTGAGGAGGCAGCAACAGGACTCAGATGGATGAGACAGGGACCGGAGAAAGGAAAATTTAGAGAATGAAAAGGGACAGTTGGTGACGATGTTGAAGAGGGTGAAGAGGGGTAATAATAGGAAGCTGGATGGGGTAGAGAGGCAAAATAGGAGTAAAGAGGGAGAGCTAGGAAGAGGCTTAACCGATAAAGGCTCCTGGGAGGAGACAAGATGCTAAGCCTTGGGGTGAGTATCCCTCCCTTCACTAAAAGGTTTTTTTTTTTTTTTTTTTTTGGTGTTTTTTTTTAGGGGGGCGGAGAAGCCAGAGTCCTGAGGCCACGATAGTGTGGGGGGGTACAAATGGGAAGGGGGTGATTGATTCAAGATTCAGAGTGCTTGGCTTCCAGAGGAAGCTTTAACACTTCCATCCACCTGCAGACAGGGACCCTGGGGAGCAGAGCTGGCCCTCAGGATCTGGGAGACGGTGATCAGGGACCACTCAGGCCTCAATCCATCGACTGACTGAGCCCCAAGTGCCAGGGACCAGTGTGCTCAGGATCAGCAAGGCATTTTTCTTTATTGAGGGCAGGGAGACAGGACACTTAGTTAGGGGTCTGTTAGGAGCCTCAGAGTAGAGGAAATGGTTGTTAAAATACAACAGATGGGGAGATGGATGCCAGCAAGCTGCCCTCCCCGGCAGGAGGATGCCGAGTCCAAGGCTAGCTTGGGCTGCATGGTGAAGGACTTGGGAGGGGAAAAGAGAGACAGGAAGGAAGAAAGTGGGAGGGAGGGAGGGAAGAAAGAAGATGAAGGAAGAGTCGACCTAAGGATGTAAGAAAAACCGTAAGGGGATTTAAGGCGTGCAACACCACCACCCAACACACTTGTTGCTCTTTTAGAGGACCCAGGTTCAATTCCCAGCACACACATGGCAGCTCACAACCATCTTTCACTCCAGTTCCCTCTTCAGGATGCTAAGGCACCAAGCATGGAAATGGCACACAAACATCCATGCACATAAAATAGTAAGAAATAATTTAAAATAATAGGAAATAATTTAAAACATTTTTAGAGATCTGGAGAGATGACTCAGTGAGTAGAGAGGCACCTGTCACCAAGTTTGAATACCTGAATTCCATCTCCAGGCTTCACATGGTGGAAGGACTAGTTACCCTCTGGCCTCCCCACGTGTGCTTTGGCATATGTACCGCCCGCCACAGATAGTTAAGTGCAATTTATTTGGGAAGGGAGCAGACATGGTGGTGTACGCCATTAATTCCAGTGCTTGGAAGACAGAGGCCAGCGGATCTATGTGAGCTGAGCCAGCCAGGGCTACACTGTGAGACTCTGTCACAAAATATATATGTATATATATATATATATATATATATATATATATATATACATTTATATAAATGAATAACCCTGTCTAGCCAGGCATAGTGGCACATGCCTCTAATCCCACAGCTCAGCATAAGCAAGCGGATCTCTGTTAGTTGCAGGCCAGCCTAGAAGGAGGAGGTAAAAGGAGAGAGAGTCGCACACCTTGCAGAAACATTCAGGATCGGGATTCGAACCCTCAAGTGCTGTGCGGCCCGCCCCGTTCCCGCAGAAATGGGCGTGGTATCTCTGTAGCAGTCCCTGCAAAGATTCCGGTCCCGCTCCCCCTTGAGCCGCCTAGCGCTAAGGACCGCTGCTTGACGTCACTGGCGGGAGCGCCGGAAATGGGACGCAAACGAGCCAGGCGGCGCCGGAAGTGGACCGCACGGAGCGTGAAGTCGGCATCCGGCCTCCTGCATCGGAAGTGAGCGGTGTGCGCCGGAAGCAGCTTCAGCGGCAACCGCGTGGAGGAGCAGGCAGCATGGGGCAGTCGGGGCGGGTGAGGCGCCCCGGCCCGGGCGGGCGTTGGGTGGGGTGGCGACCGAGGCCCGGGCGTTCACCGCCCGCCTGTCGCCCCTGCAGTCCCGGCACCAGAGGCGCGCGCGCGCCCAGGCCCAGCTCCGCAACCTCGAGGCCTACGCCGCCCAGCCGCACTCGTTCGTGTTCACGCGAGGCCGGGCGGGTCGCAGTGTCCAGCAGCTCAGCCTGGATGTGCGGCGGGTCATGGAGCCGCTCACCGCCACCCGCCTGCAGGTCTGCACCCCCCCCCCCAGCCCTCCAAGCCCCAGTCCCGGGGTTCGCGGCTGCAGCGGGGAACCCTGGCGAGGTCTTGGGGCCAGAGCGCCCGCCTTCCCTGGGGAGGCCTCGGCTGCGTCCCCAGCACCGTTTGAACTAGGCATGGTGAGGTACAGCCGAAATCGCAGCCCTCGGGAAGAGAAGGGCGGGTTACCTTAACTTTGGAGGCCAGCCGTGGGTACATAGTGAGGTCTCGTGTGTAAAAAATAAAGGCCCGGGGCCCGGGGCAGGGGCGCAGTCAAGAGCTGACTCCTCGGCAAAGGGGGCTTGCGGCTTAGCCTGAGTTCAATCCTCATGACCCACATAGTGGAGGGGTGAACCCACTCCTGAAGGTTGTCTTCTGACCTCCCCCTGTACGCCCCTACGTGACTGCACACAAAATAGATACTTTTTTAAAATTATGTTTGAGTGCTGGAGCTATAGCTGAGGAATACAGTTAAGTCCCCAGCACCCCCAGAAAGTTGGGGGATGGTCAGAAGTAACATCTCAGAAGCCTCAATTTAAGCTTCCTTGCTCAATAAAAAATATCTGTATCCGTTTCTTTTTCTAATTACCAGGTTCGAAAGAAGAACTCCCTGAAGGACTGTGTGGCAGTGGCCGGCCCCCTCGGGGTCACGCACTTCCTCATCTTGAGCAAAACAGACAGCAGTGTGTACTTGGTGAGTGGGTACCATGCCTTTCCCGCCCTCAGCCCCAGCCGCTCCTGTCTCATGATGAACCCACTGCCCTGAGCTGTTGTGATGCTGGCTTCAAAGTAAACGCTCTGACACAGGGGAGCACAGCACCCCCTTGCCCTACCCCCAGCCAGAACCCTCCACCCTCACCCATCCTTTCCCTGGCAGAAGCTGATGCGTCTCCCAGGAGGCCCCACTTTGACCTTCCAGATCAACAAGGTGAGTGGTAGAGGTGATAGGAGAGCCCAGCTTGCCTGGGGCGGGCCCTGGTCACACAGATGGTCCTCAGCCTCTCTCCACCCTCCCCTCAGTACACACTGGTACGGGATGTTGTCTCTTCCCTGCGCCGACACCGGATGCATGAGCAGCAGTTTAACCACCCACCTCTCCTGGTGCTCAACAGCTTTGGCCCGCAGGGCATGCACATCAAGCTCATGGCCACCATGTTCCAGAACCTGTTTCCATCCATCAACGTGCACACGGTGGGTCAGATCTCTTGGCAGCTGCTGGGGTGGGCAGTTGGGAAGGGAGCAGGTGTTGCAGGCCCATGTCATGTCCTCATTGTGTGGAGAGACTCATAGGCGTGAAATAACTAACTTGATCTTAAATTCAAAGGCAGGGCTGGAGTTTGTGATTTTGTGAGGATCTCCTGTATCTCAGGCTGGCTTCCAACTTCCTGTGTGGCTGAGGCTGGACTTGAACTTCTGGCCCTCCATCTCTTGCATGCTCAGTACACCTTAGTACACCTGGCTTTAGGTGTTGGTAATCAGACTTGGCCTTTGTGAACAGCAGGCAAGCACTCTATCAACTGAGCCGCATCTCTGCCCATTTTTCTTTACACCAGGTCTTGTGTTAGCCCAGGCTGGCCTTAGACTTGTAATCTTTTTGCCTCCTCCACTCAGCCCAGCATGACTTGAGTTTCAGCTGCTAAACGCTGGCGCCGTGGGTTGTCAGATTAGGCTCATTACAAGGTCCCACTTAGAAGTCTGAAGGTTGGCTTTGGTGGCCAGTGCTCCAGTCAGTCTGTGGACACTGGTTGCAGCCCCTGACACCTGTGGGCATCCCTGGTACCTCCGCCAGATACAGGCTGCTGAAGGGAAGCCCTGGCTTCAGCACTTAGAGCTCAGAGGTCTCTCTGGCCCTCCAGGTGAACCTTAACACCATTAAGCGCTGCCTCCTCATCAACTACAACCCGGACTCCCAAGAGCTGGACTTCCGGCACTAGTGAGTGAGGGTGGAAGGGACTCAGGGTGGGACACCCCGTGCACCTGATGAGAACTCTGCTGCTGAGACCGTGTGATTGCTCAGACTCAAAGTAAACGCCCTGATGCATGCCCAGAAGGGAGAGGGCAAGGAGCTGACCCTGGACCCCGTGACTCTCCACTCCTCCCTCTGCTCCTCCTGCAGCAGCATCAAAGTGGTGCCTGTGGGTGCAAGCCGGGGCATGAAGAAGCTCCTGCAGGAGAGGTTTCCCAACATGAGCCGACTGCAGGATATCAGTGAGCTGCTGGCCACGTGAGGAAGGCTCGGGGTGGGTGGCAGTGCAGCTCAGGGGTCCCAGAGCTGGCCTGTGGAGCACCCAAGGTAACCTGCTGTGCCACACAGGGGTGCGGGACTGTCAGAGAGTGAGGTGGAGCCAGATGGCGAGCACAATATCACCGAACTGCCCCAGGCTGTGGCCGGCCGCGGCAACATGCAGGCCCAGCAGAGTGCCATCCGACTGACAGAGGTGAGGGGCGGCTCACGGTGGCTCCCACAGCCTTCAGTCAGGAGGCCAGCCTGATTGTCCCATCCTTGTATCTACAGATTGGGCCCCGGATGACCCTGCAGCTCATTAAGATCCAGGAGGGGGTTGGGACCGGCAACGTCCTCTTCCACAGTTTTGGTAAGGGGACAGGATGAGGCCAGTGTGAGAGCAGTGCTAGGTCCCGTTGTGGTCTTGACAGGTGTGTCTGGTCTTTGTTCCTAGTGCACAAGACCGAGGAGGAGCTGCAGGCCATCTTGGCAGCAAAGGAGGAGAAGCTGCGGCTCAAGGCCCAACGGCAGAACCAGCAGGCTGAGAACTTGGAGCGGAAGCGGGAACTGCGCGAGGCCCACAAGTATGCCAAGACAGTGGGCCGAAAGGTAGGCTCACCCATGAAAGCAAGCTCACCCATGACACCCTTGTCCTCCAGGAAGAAGAGCCTGGCAGGCATGAAGCGAGCCCGTGCAGGGGCCGATGGTGACAGCGATGCTGAGGACCCTGGGCCACCTCCAGAGGCAGTGGGGGCAAGCCAGGTTGAGGAGGAGGAGGATGACGCTGAGTACTTTCGCCAAGCTGTGGGCGAGGAGCCTGACGAGGGTGTGTGGCAGGGTCTGTGCTGGTGACACCCGAGGCCCTTTATTTCTTCTTGAGGACCTTGACCATTTCTCTCCCTACAGACATGTTTCCCAGAGTGGCCAAGCGGAGACGGCAGGGAGTGCCTCCAGGCAGGAAGCGGGGAGGAAAGGTGCAGAGGCCTGACTCAGGCCGAGGTCAGGGCGGCAGCTGGCGGCCTCCAAAGCCGAAGGGTAGATCCCAAGGAGTCAAGACCAAGCTGGGACCCAGAGCCCCACGCCAGGACCTGGGTCGGCCATCAAGGAGAGGAACCTGAGCCTGGTTGGCAGTGGATGGACCACAGACGCCCCAGATTGGGGCCCGGGAGCTGCCCTGGGTTCCAGTGCAGCCCGGTTTCCTTTCATAAAGGAACTGCCCAGTTCTTACCTCCAATAAACCTGAATGTGGCATTCTGAGTCTGCTCTCTGGTTGGGGCGGGGATGGGGCTAACAGTACTTAGTTGTGATAGGCCAAGAGATAGACAAGCCCAGCCCTGATGGTACAAGAAGGAAGTGGGCTAGGTAGGAGGTGTCACCCTGACTGGCTGTGCAAGTTGAGATGGGCCAGTGGCCACACTGCTGGGAACCCAGGAGGTACTTTGTGTAACCCAGAGCTGCTGTGAGGACCATGGCTGCCCGCTCAGGTAAGCTAGCCCTCAGCCAGTTAAGAGATGGGACATGTGCCTTGTGGGGCTGACTAGTACCTCACTAGATCCCAGCTGGGAGGGATGTCTCTTAAGGATCGGGAGGGTTCTGCAGACTGCCAAGAGTTTGGGGTGACCAGGTCAGAGGCAGTCTGCACTGCATGTGGTACTTTGAAGAGGCCACCTGGTCGGTGAGAATGGCAAAGTGTGTGTGGGAACAAAGCAAGGCTCTGAAATTGGGGGTTGGGTTGTTGGGAAATGGTAAGGTGACCCCCTGGCTGGTATCTGTGGGCACCCTCTGGTTTAACCTGGTGCTGGCAGGAAGACAGTGTGGTAGGGAAGTACTCTGGATGGTGACTACAGGCTTCTGTGCAGACTCAGTACAGGGTCTTGTGCTGCTCCAGCTGGTTTCGAAACCAGACTGACCCTGGCCCATTCCACCTGAAGATAGGCTGGTCCCCTTCCAGGTAGTGATAAGGACTTGCCAGGTTGCATTTGCATGCAGGCCTCCACCTGCTCACCACTGGCAGGCCCTGGTATGCATGCAAATGCAGGAGCCAGGCTGAGGCAGGCTGTGGCTCAGTCGGTTACTCTGCCCACAGGTACCGAGCTCTCCTGCCCAGAAAGTTTTGTGGAGGCTGCTGAGCAGGAGTACAGGGGCTTTCAGGAGGGCTACCTCTGGGCCATCCTGATGGCAGAGTTCCTGGTGGCAGCAGGGGGCAATGGCCTGGCCCTGTACCGCTTTATCACCCAAGAGCAGAGGCCCTGGCACCCAGCTGTGGTCTTCTCTGCACAGCTGGCAGTCAGCAACCTGTGCTATGCACTCACACTGCCGCCTCTGGCCGCCTACTTCTACCCACCCAAAAACTGGAGCTTCGGGGAGGTCGCCTGCCGCCTGGAGCGCTTTGTCTTCACCTGCAACCTGCTGGGTGGTATCATCTTCATCACCTGCATCAGCCTCAGCAGATACATGGTGGTGGTGCACCCTTTCTTTACACGGAAACACCTGCGACCCAAGCATGCCTGGGCTGTCAGTGCTGCCTGCTGGGCCCTGGCCATTCTGATGGCTGCCCCCATGCTCGGCTTCTCCCACCAGAACAAGCCCCAGCAAGGCCCTGGGAAATGCAGCACAGCGAGTCCTGAGTCCTGTGTCAAGTGCCTGGGGAAGATGGAGGACAGCCAGCTAGGAACCTTCAGAACCTACAGCCTGGTGCTGGCATGCCTGGGTGGCATCCTGCCTCTGCTGCTCACACTCATGGCCTACATTGCCCTAGGGTCAGTGGTGCTGCGCAGCCAGGGCATGACCACAGCCCAGAAGGTGCATGTGGTAGTGCTGGTGACCAGTGGTGTGGCTCTGTACGCCTGCTCCTATGCACCCTACCACATCACACAAGCGTTCTATGTGGATGCCATGTTGCACTGGATGGCTCGCTGCCCCAGCTTCAACAATGAGAAAGAGGCTGCAGAAGCGGTAGACCTGGGGGCCTTCTTTGGCTACCAGACAACACGCATCCTCGTGCCCCTGGCCACGTGCATGCACCCCCTGCTCTACATGGCCGTGGCACCCAGCCTGCGCTGCCACCCATGCCGCCGAAACCCTGACCAGGACCTGCCTCTAGCAGGTACAACCACTCCCCAAGGCCAGCTGAGCCCATGACCTGATCTAGCTGAATCCTCCTCACCACAGGCTGGGTTGTGACAACAGCCCTTTAGTGCCAAGGATCCCCCAGCTACCCCTCACCAGTGCAGGCTGCCTCCCATCTAAGGCAAGTCCTTTAAAGACCTCAGCCTGCACCGCCGCCCTCCCCACCCCCATCCCACCCCTGCTCCCAGCCGCCCCACAACAAGGGAGACTCATGAGAACAAGAAAGACACAAGTGTGTTTGAAGTCTGTTTAATGGAAGCTTTCTGTCCCTGAGGGTCTGGGCGACAGCAGCAGGCAACAGGTGTCTTTTTAGTTCGTTGATGGCCTGGAAAGAGGAGGCAGGTGGTAAGAATGCAGGTGGGGACTTGTGACCCTAAAGAGTACCTGAGACTTCACACTCACACACCAGGGAAGCCCAGCCCTCGCCTGCTTGGGAACAGTGGCATCAAGTCTGGCAGTTTTTTCCCAGAGCACAACAAAGGACCTTCCTTCAGACAGGCCTGGCAACCACCTAACTGGAGCGGGACCACAGCGGGCTAAGGAGGGTATGGGGGCGGGGAGGACGTCTTACTTGGCCCATTCGACATTGAGGATGAGGTGGTCATAGCCAAAGCCAGACACCCCTGCAATGGCACGTGCAGCATCCTCCCGGCGGTGGAAGCTGATAAAAGCAAAACCCTGGGGGCCAGGGGCAGACAGTCAGGGGCGGGGGATAAGAAGTGGGTCCCAGGACCCCTGTTATCCAGCCACCCACTCCCCAGACCAGCCCACCCACCTTGGACTGGCCAGTGGTCTTGTCCTTGGCCAAATATATGCGAGAGATGGAGCCAAAAGGCCGGAAGAGTTCCTGGAGGTCAGTCTCCCGCGTGTCCTCAGACAGGTTGGTGACGCGGATGGTGGCGTTGTCGTCGGCTTTGTGGGCAAGGCAGGGCGAGGCGGCAGTGAGAAGCATGCCATAGCTAGACCCCACGCCCACATGCAGGATAATCACAGGGCGTCTAGTCGTCTACTTGCTACCGAGGCGATCCCTAGCCCCTCACCTCTGCGGTTTGGCTGCATGGACTCCCCACGGCGACTGGCCCCATCCCGGAGACTTGGGGGCACGTACTTCCCCGTCTTGTTCTGGGCAGCCTGCACAGGCTCCAGCTCTGGAAAGCAGCAGCAAAGTCACACTCCGCCCCAGGCTCGAGCTGCAGGCTTCCAGTCATCCTCTGGCGACCCAAAGGTCACGTCCAGGATGCTACCACCCTGCAAAGTCTCCGCTGACAACATGAGTAAAGCGAACAACCCACGGGGCAGACGTGGTCCTGACCCCACAGCCCAGCACTGCAGGCCCGCAACTGAGGGTGTGCCTGGGCTGTCAGGATGGGCACAGGCGAAGCTCCATGCAAGTCACAGAGGGAGCTACCCACAAGACACATCAGATAGCGACACACACACACACACACACACACACACACACACACACACACACACGTTAGAATAAGATACCAGCCACATTTACATAGGGACGACCATGCCCCAAGCAAATGAGGTGTCTAGGAGGGCGCCCAGACACAGGCCGCTCAAACCTGGCCACAGACAAAGAACACAGCACACTACAAAAGGAGTAGCTGAGGCCCCTCCCAGGTGCCCCAGGCCCACACCTCCCGGCAGCTTCTCCTTCTCCCCAGTGGACAGGCCCAGCTGCTCAGCCAGCTCCTTCTGCATGGGCCCCAGTGTGTCCTTGTAAGGGCAGCGGGTGGTCCAATGGTCGCCCTTGCAGATGCGGCAGGACACAATTTTCTGGCCCTTGAGCTTGTTCATTGGGTCTTCCTCCTCCTGGCAGTTCAGGTCCTGGTGGGGAACAGGGAGGGGTGGCTCAGAAGGGCTGCTGTGCCCACCCCACCACCCACTGCACTTCTGGGTCTCCAGCTTCACCCTGCTCACCTCTTTGCTAGTGATGAATGTCATGGAGACGTCATCACTGACTGTGGTGGTGGCCACATTGGGCCCTGGTGGGTCAAACTCCGAGTTGCCAAACTTCTTCCAGTTCTGGGCTCCCAGAAGGATGGGGACAGTGAGGACAAAGGATCCCACAGTGGGGTACCCCAGACAGACAGCCACATCAGGTCCTTGAATCCTACATCCTAGTCTCCATGTGATAATGGTGACAATTCACATTTCCTAAGCTAGGCATGGTGGTACATAACTGTCACCCTAACACTTGGAGGTGGAAACAGGAAGATTTTGAGCTCAAGGTCATCCTGAGATATACAAGTTCAAAACCAGCCTGGGCTATGCTATATGAGGCCCTGTCTCCGGGGGGGAAGAAAAAAGAAGAGGGAAGAAAAAGTAAAAAAGTTGCTGGTGAGGTGATTCAGTGTATAAAACTGTTGTATATTCAAGAACCTGAGTTTGATCCCAAACTCTCATATAAAAAGTTAAGTATGGCTCAGGGCAGGGGACACTATCTAAAGAGAGTAAGTTGGAGAGTGATATGACAGAGCAGGTCACCTGATATCCTCCTCGGGCCTGTGTGTGAATATACAGGCATTCATGACCTCCACCCCACCCCGACACACACACACACACACACACACACACACACACACACACACACACACACCACAAATAGACAAGTAAAAACCTCCAGGAGACAGTAGGAAGATTCAGAATGGGCTGGCACACAACTGTGCCGCTGGCAGTTTCTGGGCAGTCCGTGGGCCAGCTCCCACAGGGATGAGGCTGCACATGTCCAGGAGTCACTCAGATCACAGGAACCTTGAGCTAGTTAAACCTGAGACTCACTTCCTTCCTGTAAAATGGGACCACAAAGCTCCCTGCCTCCCTAGCCTGGTCTACAGGTTGGGAAGCCATGCCTTGCTAAATGCCTGGAGTGGAGCCTAGCTTTAATTGTGGCTGCCCTTCCTCCAGAGGCCCTTGCCCCTTGGGAAAGAGGCTGCTTGTTCCTTCAGGCAGACAGGACCCAGGAGGCTGAGGCAGAAGCAATGAGAATTTGGAGACTAGACAGCAAGAGCCTCTCAAAAATAACAACAAATAAAACAAAAATCCAAGAGGGCTGGATATCTCCGGAGTACCTGTCACAAAAGTACCCATCAGAGTCCAACCCCAAGCACCCACAATGAGAAGCTGGGCACAGAGGCATGTACTCGTACAGTACTGGCCTGCTGACCAGGAAGGAGGTGGAGACAGCAGGATCCCTGGGGATAGACGGCCAGCTAGTCTGATCTAGTTCCAGATGATAAGAGACCATCTCACACCAAGAAGAATGTGCCGGAGGAATGATACCGTACACAGGAGCACACAAGGGGGGGAAGGGGTCTAACCTCATCTACTCCCGGGCCCTAAATTTTCAGGGCCTGACACTAAACCTTAATTCTACATCAACAAGTGAGGGCTTTGCAAACCCTCTGGGTCAGTCCTGGGGACCCCCTCCCCTACACACACCAAAATGAGCCAGGAGGGTCTCACCTTCCTCCTTGCCACGGCCTTTGATGCCTTCCGGGTCTCAATCCTGAAGGTTCTGACAATCTGAAGAGGAAAGAGAGAGGAGCGCTTCCAGAATCTCAAAACCGCCCTCACCGGTCCAAATCACCACTCGTACCCCTCATCACCAACCTAAGTGCCCCTGAGCACAGAGGCACACTGACCCTCTGCGGCCACCTCGACCTCACCTTGAACTTCTTGCCGTCTTCATCTATCTTGTACTCGGTCACCGTCTTTATGTTCCCGTTGATGACTTCCTTGGGAGGTGGCAGTGGGTCTGCAGGAAGGTGACAGAACTTGAGTGCCCTGGGTAACAGGGACCGGCAGGAAAACAGGCTTGAGAGGAGGAAGGGAGGAGGGAGAGGGCGGGACGGATGTCACTCACCTCCGGGCAGTAACTCAGGCTCGGGACTGGTGTCACCGGTGGGCAGAGGGATTCCTTTCAGGAGCTCGCTGGTGACACACTTGTCTGTCAGAGGGAATGAGGGGAGGGGGGGACGTCAGCCAAGCCGGGGGGCTCTGGGGCCTCGGTCCACCCCGGGACGGAGCGCGGGAGGGGCCGCGCGCTCAGGCACTCACCGTCCTCGCCCTCCTCTTCCACCTGGTCGGCCCAGCTGGGCTTCGAGCTGCGGGAACACGAGATCGGTGAGCGGGTCCCGGCCCGCGCGCCGCCCGGACCACCACACACCCACGGCCGCCCCACTCCGCCTCGCTGGAGAACCCGCCACCGCCCCAGGCTCACTCAAAATCGCCAGTCGGCATCGCGAAGTCAAGCTCCACGCAGCTCCCAGCCCGGGTAGAGAGCGGAAGCGCGGAGAGAACGAGGCTTCCGGTGCCGCCGCCGCAGCCTAGAGCGGCCAGACCGCGGCGAGCACAGCGCCGCCCTGTGGGCAAAGGTGGACACGCGCGTCTCATGCGCCGCAAAGCGCTGGGACCCAAACTGGCAGAGAGGTCCAGGGGAGAGCATCCAGAACTTCTTAAACTCCACTCCCCCTTTTTGGGGTGATGGGACTAGAAGTCAGTGTCTTGAGCTGGAGAGATGGCTCAGAGGTTGAGAGCACTGGCTGTTCTTCCAGAGGTCCTGAGTTCAATTCCCAGCAACCACAGGATGGCTCACAACCATCTGTAACGAGATCTGGTGCCCTCTTCTGGCCTGCAGGCATACATGCAGACAGAACACTGTATACATAATAAATAAATAAATCTTAAAAAAAAAAACAGATTAAAAAAAAAAGTCAGTGTCTCACCCTATAGCTAGAATAGCCAGTAATTCCCAACAATCCTCCTGCCTCAACCTCCGAAGGGCTGAAATTACAGGCATGAGCACCACACCAAGGTTGGCCTTGAACATGAGGCTTGCCTGAAACTTCTGATGCACCAAACACTGGGCTTAAACTCACAGCAATCTTTCCACCTCACCCTCGCAAGTGCTGGGAATACAAGCATGAAATTACCACATCCAAGGCTGGTTCACTCTCTCCCTCCTCGAAAACTAAGGTTTTTAGCCACCAGTAATCCTAATAGTAGGGGAGGTAGAG